AATTACAGTTTGGAATGTAATATAGTTTTGCTGACCCTAACCATTAAAAAAAAAGGCGTACTTATAAAATTCGAATTTATATTAAAATTTACGTATATACATAATGCAAAGTATTGGCGATTTCCAATTATAAAATGATATAATATTCTTTACGAAATCCAGCTTTTTTCTTTTAATATTTATATAAAGTTAATTCATAAACAATTTATTAGCTAAAATAATATAGGTAATTTTATAACGTAATTAAACTGTGATAGATATATCTCCCGTAAAAGTTTACAGAGATCGCGTATCTGGTATGTTTTTTTTTCAGTACTGTATGTACAGTACTTAATAACGTTGAGTTCGTGGATAAAAATCGCATTTTTGTTTTTGTTATTATTATTAAAATCACATTTTTATATAGAGGACACCTTAAACCAACGACTTTTTTAAAAGTAGCTAAATTTTATGTTTTGATATATGTTGCAAGCGGAAACGGAATTTAAGTGGATTTGGAATTTATATAAATCTACACCATAACCCCAAAATCCTAAGAAATATGCGACCAAATTTTTATTTTACTAATAATTTTAAAAGGTTTACCATTGTTAAATTTTATTAAATTAAAAATAAATTCTGTAACTTAGTTCTGCTAATTTATTTATTTATTTATTTATTTTGTACATTTTTGCAAAAAAAGCTCTTTAGTTATATTTCTTATTTTTATAAAGAATTTTTTTAGTTTTTACTTACTGGTTTAAGGCGTCCTGTACTGTATCACACACACCGAATGTCAAATCTGTCTATATATATCGATGTGTCCCCAAAATTTCGATAAACAACTTTGATAATTAATATTAACGTTAACGTTAAATAACAATGAATCAATCATCAAGTCCTTTAGATATTATCAGACAACCAATCAAGTGAATTCCACTCGGATTGTCCGCTACTTCTTTTATTAATGGAGTAGCCGGTTCATTGTTATATGCTCGACGGAAAAGTAAATAGCTTTAACGAATATTATTAAATAGGAAAGATACTAGTACAAAAAAACATTACTCCCTATTATTATTATTATATTTTAGGTATGAAACATGAGTTGTTTAGTTTTTATTGTAATTTAATAATAAAAGAGCTAATTTATAGAACACTGTGCTCAAATAATAAAAAATCTAATCGTTGAAAAGTTTCATCAGTATGGAAAATGTTTTTGGCATCGACCTTCTCAATGCAGCGTTTACAGCCATAATGCCAGGTTATATTTTTGCATTAGAAAAAGAATATAATGAGAGAAAAAATTCACTTACTCAGCAAGAAGGCAACACTTACCAGCCTATTGACGTATATACGTTTCATCAATGTACACTTGTTAATAAAATTGACGAACTAAATGAAATATCATCAACATCAGAGTCATTTGATCAATTAAATAGTCATGACTCTATGCAAATTTTTGTAAAAATGTATACTGGTAAGAGCATTACACTTGAATGCAACGAGAGTGATACTATTGATCAGGTGAAAAAAAAATTCAGGATTAAGAGGGTATTCTATTTGATAAACAACGACTTATTTTTGCCAGTATGTCATTAGAGGGAGAGAAACCACTTTTTCACTATGATATTATTAAGAGATGTACATTACATTTAGTCTCAAATATTAATGGCGGTGGAAGTATAATAAGTTATTTGAGTTCTGATTTTTTAGACAGAGTTCGATTTCGATTTTACAAATATTGATGATAAAGATGAGGCATTCATTCGCGGTGGTGTTGAGTATCTAAGACCATGTGGATGGCGATGTTTTGCCTTAAACGTTACTGGAAAATGGCTTGGTACTGAAACAAATGCTTGGCTAGTATCATACCACGGTATTAGCAAACATAATTGCTGAGGAAGGGTATTCATTAAGTAAAGGAGAGAATTTTGTTCATGGATATGGTATTTATTCAACACCTGATGTGAATGTTGCTGAATTATACGCCAAGGAATTTGTGCATGGTGAAGATAAATATCTAGTGATAATTCAAAATCGTGTGAATCCTAAAGATTTGCAGAAAATTTGAATTTTAATAGTATATAAATAGCATGAAAGACTTTGACTTTTTTTGATACATTTAAACACTCATTACAGCGATTTCTATTCCCTAAACAACGTTTATTTTCCTTTGGTCAATGCAAGTTTCCAAAATACAATAAAATTTCGCAACCCAGAAAATTATATCGTTGTGGTTCATGATTATTGTTGATGAATTGAAAAAAAAGATTGTTCTTACTTATATTAATACGATAATACATCATCAACCACTGAATCACTGTCGCGAGTCTAATAACTGACTGCATTAAGGACTGGCACAAATTATTTTTCAATCGGTGGAGATTAAAAAGTAACACATATTGATTAAGAATCGACAAATTTTGTAATCGACGCAGAATATTGACACTTCTTTATAAACCAGTAACGTAATATTTCTGCACATATAGTTCAAAAATAAATAGAATCAAAAAAGGAAAACTGAATTGTAATATTCATTATGGTGTCCTTTATAAATTGCCGTATACGAGATTTTAAAATTCTATTTTTCAATCAAACATGTCTGATGAATTCGATTATACCATAATCATTTATATAAAAAAGGTTGGTTCCGTTTATACTTTTAACCATTAATAAGACCAGTACGATTTAACTATATGAATTTTTATTTTTTGAATATTCAATGTATTTGGTCGTTCTATTATAGGTTGAACATTCTTAAAATATTTTGTGGTAGAAATGTTTTTATATATTAAAACTATGAATTCTTTAAAATTATGAACTTGGCATAAAAACGTGCATAACGGCAAAATAACATCTTTTTTTATTATATTCACTATCAATGTTATGTAAGATGTAAGTCTCGGCAAGAGTTTACCCGAGTCATTAGATCGAAAAATAACATGAGTTGATTAATAATTGACAGAATTTAAAATGAAGCATAGTCATGATATTAAATCTTTCTTGCTCATCTTGTACAATTAACATTCGATCAAATTATCAAA